CATGTCAGACACTTGATATTATGTCTGGCTCTAAATCAAAATATAGAAGTTATGATATTGTGATTATATGAAGATGATGAAGACTCCTAGGCTGTGTGGAAAAACAATACAGAAATGAGACTTTTTTTTGTATAAAAGAAGATAATATAAGAAAGAGAATACAAATAGAAGACAATATGTCATTCTCATACATAAATGAGAAAAATAAAAGAGAACAGAGCAATTTAATGTAAGATAGCCTTCCAACTTATTTGTAAAATAGACAAACGCAAACCCCAAGAAACACTATGTGCCTTCGCCCACAGTGCACATCACAGTAATGTGAGAAATTGTTCTCTTTGGGTGCTGTGTCTGAAGCAAGTCAGTACTGTTGGTAGAAGGTATTGTGGTAGATGTAATTAAAGACTCTGATCTTGGATGGAACTTTCACCTTCCAGGAAGAAGGTGTGTGATTCTTGACTGTAAATATTTAGGACTTCTCTATAAGTAATACACAATCAGTTATGATCTTGGAAGGGAACGGGCTATTTTTGTTAGTTTTCAAACAACAAATAGGAAACTAGTATCTTTTTGTGTGCATTTCTGTATAAAGCACAATATAAATTCCCCTATGCAATTTTTTTTGAATTCTTATCAACTGATTCTTGTAATTTTTAATTTGAAAAACTCACTTTAGATGCTTAGGTCAGTAATTTTTACTTTTAACAACTGTCAAATTAGATACTTGGATCCGAACCAAAAACTGGATGCTCGCACCCGGATCCAAGCATCGCAGCCTACTGCCTTGCTTTTGAGATCTTTATGCCTTGTTCAATTGTCTGATTGGAATTCCAGTGTTGTCAGTTTACAACGTGTGTCTATCATGATGGTCTACCTCGTCAAGATATTAACAAATACATTATATGATTTAAAATATTTTTTATAGAACAGCAGTATATCTTGCATAAATTTATAATAGATGGTTCATATAGTTAACTGCATTTGGCAGGGACTGTCAAGGAACATACCACCCGAAGATCACTTTATGCAGAGACTCTTAGAGTTGAAGCACATTGGGTTACAGTGGGCAGAACATGCCAAGAAGGTTTGTTATGGTTGTGGATAATATTATTACTTTTATTATGTTAGAAAGAAAATATTTATAAGGGTTTACAGGAATCCTTATACCAAGAAAAGCAAAATTATGAACAGAAAAAACTAACTATATAATAAAGATTTTTACTAGGAAACAACCATATATAAAATATATATTGTATTTGTTATTCTCACCCTCAAGCTGAAACATTTATATGATACGAACCGACCTTGTTACGAATGAACTTCACACAAGTTCCTTTTAAGGATTTTGAGAACATACAACTAGTTGGTTTGCCGATCTTATATAAGTAGTCTGAATCACATTTTATGAAAGGTTTTTCTTAAACAAAATGATGATGAACCTCAAAGGTTTTAGTTCTATCATGAAAAACTAGTCCAAGAGCAATGCAGTTGCTGCTTGGCTATCATGTAGTAACTCCATGTGTTGTGCTTTATGGTAAACCAAACTCGTGATGTGGATGGTTTAAATAAATCACCTCACATAGTACGAGCAATTACTTAATATCCTGGCATAACAACTATAATCTACTCATTGCTAGCCATAAAGACACAGTAAATTGTGGTTTATCTATTATCAGTACCTAAACCAGCTGAATCAACGTCTTTGGACCCCTATATTAGAGTGTCTCAATGAGTAATCCACGACCAATTTATCTTAAGATATCTCAATAAACATACAACCTTCCAATAACTAGTTTAAGGAGAGTCCATAAATTGACTTACAAGCTCGTAGCAAATAAAATGTCTAGACAAGTCACAATTTGATTTTCCAACTAACTTCTTTACACATAAAGATCCTCTAATAGTTCATTCTCATCTAAGGCCAAAGTGAGATTAAAATTAATAGGAATATCAACTGTTATGTCTCAATCAGAAGATAAAAAATGTAGCTTCTTTTTGACATATGAGTATCCAATTTCGATTTGTTATCTCTATGCCAAGAAAAGTATTGTGACAACTCCAAATATTTTGTCTGGAATTGATTTTGAAGGAAAAACTTTAATTCTTCAATTCCCTTACTGTCATCAACTACGATAACAATATAATCAATATACATATTAGTAACAAGTCACCTCCGTGAAGTTGGAAATTGCTAGTAATTGTCAGTTATCCATATACTGGTGAATTCATTTCTGAGCCTTATACACACTGCCATCACACTATGAGAACTGTTCATGTTTGACGTTGTTGCCTTAATTGTATGGAGGGGGATGCCGAAGGCAGAGCTTCTTATTGAATTCTTCCGACATAAAGTGATGATAAAGATAGAATGGTTAGCACCACTTTAATGTAAATCAAACTCCACCATTATTTCACTGGACTTTGATTTAAGGTACAAGAGACCATTTTAGCGCATTTCAACAAAATAGTTGGACTTTCCCTTAGTGACAAATCCTAAGGGTTACTCTACGTAAACACTTTTCCCCTCAATTACCATGTAAGAAGGTATGTACAATTGGTGCAAGCGCCAATAGTTGGTAGCTGCTAAAGGAAAAAACAAGCAAACTAAAGTGATTTGGCTATAGGATAATGTTGACACGAATATTTTGTTTCCTAAATGATCATATTATTTTTCCTGTATAGTTCTGCCATTAATTTCTCTCATAATATTGTAATTATTTAAAATTCCTATTATAAATGAAATTTCTTTTTTTGTACTTAAGAATTCTTATATATATATGAGTCATTTATAACAACAAAAATATCGTGAAAATAAAGTAAATATTTTTTTCAAATTTCTACATGGTATCAGAGCAGAGTAAGAGTGTTTTAGGGTTTTATTTTTAGGGTTTCTTTTCAAACTCTAGAATCTTCTCACCAGCCACCCAAAGTAGAGAGATAGACTCACCAGGCGGCTAGCCGCCCTACTCTGGCTCTGTCTTCGCCCTACCCGACTTGCTTGCTCCGCTCGATTGCCGCGGCTCAAGCGGCATTTCGCGCGCAGCTCTCTAGTTTGCATTCTCAACTCATCCGGTTCACGTACTAAACTCGTCTGCTCCTTCGTGCACAACCCTCTGCTTGCTCTGTCTGATTGCAGCGATTCACGCAGCCTCTCGCGCACAAACCTCTGGTTCGAGTGCCGATCTGTCCGCTTGCAGCGGTGCATGCTGCTTCCTTGTCTAGTTCGCGCACATTTGACCCAGCCCGATGCTGCCTCCTCCGATTCTTACACAC